TTTTTTTAATTTATTTTTGGGACAGAGAGAGACAGAGCATGAACGGGGGAGGGGCAGAGAGAGAGGGAGACACAGAATCGGAAACAGGCTCCAGGCTCTGAGCCATCAGCCCAGAGCCTGACGCGGGGCTCGAACTCACGGACCGCGAGATCGTGACCTGGCTGAAGTCGGACGCTTAACCGACTGCGCCACCCAGGCGCCCCTGGAGAACTTGTTAAAATCCAGGTTGCTGGGCCCCACTCCCCAGTTTCTGATTTAGTAGGTCCAGTGTGGGGCCCAAGAATGTGCTTTCCTAACAAGTTGCCGGGAAGATCTGGGAACCATGCTTTGAGAAGCACTGTTTTGTTTTGTTTTGTTTTTAAGTTTTTTTTTTTTATTTTGAGAGAGAGGGGGAGAGGAAAAGAGAGAATCCCAAGCAGGCTCTGTGTGGACAGCACAGAGCCCAACGAGGGGGCTCAAACCCACGAACTGTGAGTTCATGACCCGAGCCAAAATTAAGAGTTGGACGCCTGACTGAGCCACCCAGGTGCCCCTGAGAAGCACTGTTTTAGAAGTCATCTCGCCATCCCCTGGCTTCCAAGTCCTGGGCCAGTCCACCCAGACCAGGCTAAGTTTCTTTTCAGCTGCCAGGAGATAAGGATCTTACAGTAGCTCTGAATAATTTTCCCCTCGTTGAGATTTTTAAAGATGACTCTCCTGGGGTTACCACCACATCCCTGACAGTTTTTCTTCAGCATGCTTTTCCTACCCATCACTTCGTCGAATGTTTTCTGATGTTGGGTTGGGATGTGCTAGCCTTTGTTTTCCATCGGACTTTCCTTGACATCACTCACCGAAGCAGATGAGAAGGATGATTCAGGCGCCACCACAATGAACATTGGTTCTGATAAATGTATCCTTCTCTGTGTCCATCCCCAAGTGTTTCTCCATCAAATACTCTTGAGGAACAGTTTTTATTTTGCTGTCATTGCTGGGGCCTCCCTTTTACCAATAGGAACTCATGTCAGGCCAGCATGTGAGCCCCATTCCTAGGACAACCATAAATGGTCACTCTTAACAAGAACTTTTCCCGAAGAAAACATGTTCACCTGTATTGTGAAGGGAGGAAGGATTTCTTAAGAATTTCTAAGGGAAAATAAGAATCAATACACCCTGTGTATAGCACTGGGATCCCCAGTGATGGAAGCAAACTAAAATAAGATTAAAATGTGACTTTGTCCTCAAAGACTTTATAATTTGTCAGAAAGAGAACACAAACACTGAATACTTTTGAGCTAAAATTACGGACAGGTGGAAACAAGTGCTGAGGAACGTCCCAAAAGAATCACTTATGAGAAGTTTCTACATTTAGAATCCACTGTTTTTTGTTTGTTTGTTTGTTTGTTTGTTTGTTTGTTTGTTTTTTTAAGAACCCACCTTCTTAAAGACAAGTATGGTGGATTATCACAGAAGAGGAAGACTGAGTTATTTTAAAGCACTAAGGCAATAAAAGTTATGTTTTAAGAGTAGGAAGGAGCTTGTTTGGTAGTAACAGGGGTTTGTTCTTTTTTTGAGCTTTTTGTTTTTTGGTTTTTTTGTTTGTTTGTTTGTTTTAGTAATCTCTACACTCAGCATGGGGTTTGAACCCACAATCCTGAGATCAAGAGTCAAACGCTCTTCCGACTGAGCCAGCCAGCCACCCACCCCAGGTTGTATTTTTAAAGTCCTAAGAAATGAGGGGTAAAGTTTTTGGCTAGGTATTTTCTAACTGGTTAAACTTATTTTGTATCTTCTATAAATTCAGAGTTTGTGGTTATTAGGACATAGTTTTTGCTTAAGCTTCAGTGGTCTAGGGAAAAAAGCAAATTGATAAAGTTTAGTAAGGTTAAACAACTTATTTACCTCTTTTCAAGCATTTTTTTTCAATGTTTATTAATTTTAGAAAGAGAGAGAAACAGAGACAGAGCATGAGTGGGGGAGGGGGAGAGAGAGAGGGAGACACAGAATCCGAAGCAGGCTCCAGGCTCTGAGCTGTTAGCACAGAGCCTGATGTGGGGCTCAAACCACAAACCACAAGATCATGACCTGAGCCGAAGTCAGATGCTTAACTGACTGAGCCAGCCATTTTTAATAGTGCCAAGTACATAAAAATTTTGCCAGTTACATTGATATTCTTGTTGACTGAAAGTAGCCTAGATACTTCAACAATAGTCTGCCATGATCTAAGTGCTTATTCTGGAATGAAATTTCATTTTCATAAAATATTTTAACATTTAAATTTAGAGAAGTCTGAGGTTTTTATTCTGAGGATTAATTTTAAATGTTTGTAATGGTAGTTTCAGGATTTCCCATTAGACCAAAGATAAATTATCATAAGGAGTTTTCTTGTAAAGATTAGGAACATGTAGAGGGAGGACAGCAAGAATAAGGAAAGAGCAGTAGTTGAGGCCTGTATGACCTGTACCCTAATCCCTTAACTCATCTGTAGCTCTGTTCCGAAACACCAATGTGGAAGATGTCCTCAATGCCCGAAAACTGGAACGAGACTCACTTCGGGATGAGTCCCAAAGGAAGAAGGAACAGGACAAGCTGCAGAGGGAGAGGGACAAACTAGCCAAGCAGGAGCGCAAGGAAAAGGAAAAGAAAAGGACACAAAGAGGGGAGCGGAAGCGATAACCTTGGTCCACTCTGTTCTTTCTCCTCATGGACTTGATCAAAGGGAGAGCTGATTGTGCACATGTGTATTTAAGAGAAATGAGAGAACATTGCAGAGTGCTTTTGTCCCTTTTGTTTACATGGTCAAAAGGAAAATCACAAACACTTCTAATTACAAAATGTGCCATGTCTGTGTGGTGTGGGTAATCAGATTATTGTAGTTGATGTCTGTACCAAAGATCTGGAATGGCGGCAACTTTTATATTTTAATCTTGAAGTTCTGGCTCCTTTTGGCTACTTAAAAAGTCTTCCCTTACCTAGGATCGATAACGGAAATATTCAGAAAGCTGACAGTTACAGTTTTCATCCTAAAGGAGCAGAATCATGACGACTCCTTTCCCGAGATGAAATGTGGGAGCATAAAGTACTTTGAAAGTACTATTTACCCCTAAATGTATTGTTTTATGGATGAAATAGAAAACTAATGAAGAGCCCTACCTGGGTCTAGATATTATGTTAACATGGCAATGACCTATGAAAATGGAAGAAATTATGTGGTGGATGTTCTAGATTTGAGGGGAAAACAATTTTTTTTAAGTTTCAGCTTATGGGGGGAAAAGGAGTATCTTTTTAAGTGGAGTCACATATTTTTTTCCTCATCAAGGCTGCAGTTTTGAAGAAGGATGTGTATTGGGTGGAAGGAGATCATTGTTAGCTAGATTCATTTTTTATAATCATGTGTCCTCTTGAGCACTGGTAGAGATTTTAATCCTGATGTGCCCTAAAACATGAGTATAAAGACCTGATAATTACAGGTTGAGAGAAACTGCAGGAACCGTGCATTTAAGGAACAAACACTGGAAATCTCTGCGAACACAAAGATATTTAGGAGTGTACGTTGTGGGTGCTCAACAAATTTATTGAATGAATGGAGAAACCAGGAGAGTCAAAAGTGAGCGGGAACTCTGTTTCTACTTTGGTCACAAGCCACATTCAGTTGTAAATACGGCCTTTCTCTACTTCAGGCAGTGGACTGTCAAGAAGCCTGAAGGGAGGCATCTCCCTGACAAGACAAAGTAGGTATTTTATACCTGAGGTTGGCAAACTACTGCAGACAAGCAAATTTGGCCCAGTCGGTTTTTATATAATGCGAGTCAACAGTGAATATTGCATTCTTAAAGTGTTGTAAAAGAAGAAACATGTGATAAAACTTTAGGCCTGTGAAGCCTAAAATATTTACTGTCTGGTCCTTCAGAGAAAATGTTTGCTGACCTCTGTTTTGTACTATTAACTATGAGGTTAACAAAAATTTTTACCTTTGTGCAGAAGGTAAAAAGAAGCATGGTTAAGGAAAAGATATGTCACCTCTATACACTCCTATAAGCGTGGCATTGCATTTTAAAAAAGTAACCACCTTTTAAAAAAATAAACTATTTAAATCACTGTTTTCTGATTTATCCTGATTCCTTCCAGCTATCCGTGGAAATGAATTGTGTGAATAGTCACTTAGGAATGTGATGAATTTTGCTCTGTATTTTATTTTGTTTAGTCCAATATGCTCTTTTAATAGTAGAACCTTTTCCTAGAATCAAATTCTCTGCCTCAGTTTTCTTTTCTGTGAGGTTAGGTATTAGGAGATCAGAAAGATTACTGTGTTTTTTTTGTTAAGTCAGTAAATTGACTTTGAAAGCCTTGGAAGTACTTTGGGAGTCTTAGTCCTCTGTGGCAGCAGCAATAGGCTGTGGCTACAGATAGGGTATGAGGGAGCCAACTTTATTAACCCTTATTTTGGATTTTTGGTTTATTCTCACTTTGATTTTGGTCTCTGCAGCAGAGTCAGGTTATATCCGTGAATCCCTGAAGAGTACTTGCAATTATGTGTTTTCTATTATGTATTCTACAGTTAGGCATATCCTGAGCTAATGTTTAAGAAAAAAGGATCAGCTCCCTAGACTTTGAGTAAGGTTAGCCACTTAATTCAGGTGCTGAGAAATCCTTTATGTCTAAAATGTTCAATATTGCAAAGGGCAAATTTTAAACAACTGTATCTTTTATTGTGTGATTGACATTTTAAGCCAGAATCAGAATTTCAGTCATAACATTAATTCCCAACCCTCTAAAACTTTATAAAGTAGCGGATGGTTCAAGTGGAAGGACACTGATATAATTCAAGGTAATTTTCAACCACTTTTGTATAAATTGCTTTGTTTATTAAAAGAAATGGAGTACACCAAATTCTTTTGGATGAGAAATAATGGGAACATCAGTTTCATTACAGATTATGTGTGATGTTAATTTTATGTTCTTATAGATTGTAATTCAGAAGTACTGTATATAAGAACCATCCATTAGAGAGTATACCTATAGAAGGGGATAACCAACTAATTTGAGAATTATCTGCAGGGTGATGTGATTAACAAAATTTCAAATAATTTTTGTTTGGTTTTTATGAATAGACTAGTGTTTCATTTCTGACAACGGTCATGTAAAAACTTATCCAGAATTTTTATTTTGGTTTGCCTGGATTAGTATAAAGGCAAAGCAAAAATTTCATCTTTGAAGGAGGGGAGGTTCAATGCAAGGATATCTGAATGGCATTGCTTTGTCTACCAATATTCTTGTTGATGAAATATAAAACTCGGCTCCAGTTCTTATCAGTGAAATGAAATTTGACTGGTTTTATGACCTTTGTGATACTTAAGGTTAGAAACTAACACAGAGATGTAAAAAAATGAAACCAAATATTTTCAACAAAGTAATTTATTAATTTTTTCCTGAGAGACTAAATTCAGTACAGTATTTGTTTTCATAACATCCAACATGTCTTATGTCAAACTTAACCACTTTCCATGCAGTGACTGTGGTGGGGTGATCTATTTTATTTGACTACCCTCAATGTAATTCATTTGGGTAGTTCTAAAGCATATCAGTGATCAAAATGTTTCTCCCTACAGTTACTCCTGCATTCTCAATCAGTTTCTTCCGCACATCATCTAAAGAAAATTTATGTGGTGTGATTACACTCTTTAATACCAGGATTTCTAAAACTAGGAAAAACACCATTTAAAACATCAGTGTTTCCAGTCAAGGATAGTTCAATTAAATTTCATCAGTACATTATATTATAGTTTAACTCATGCTAGAAATGTTAAAACCCAAGATCTTCTGAGTCACATAATACCAACATTTCATATTAATGAATAAATTACTTGGGTTTCATACAAAGATATTAAGTGATGAGAAACAGAAAAAGCCAAGCTTTCAAGAGCTCTTTTAAAAAAATACAGAAGCTAACTAATGAACACAACTACACAAAATATACACTAACCAATTGCAAACTAAACTAAAGATTAACCTTAAAAAAGTATATTTTAGAACTTAATGATACCCTCATAAAATGCTCATAAGGGTATTATTACCTCATAGGGGTATTAAAACAATAGTCATTATTTTAGTTACTGTGCATCAAGTCTAAAAGATCCAGATAAAGGAAATGTTTTGTTTTTGATTGAATTTAAATACTTTAAAACTGGAAATATTTAATAATTGATAGTATAATTAAATTTTAAAGAATATACGCAAATGATTTGAACAGGTTTTATATTCAGTAACTTGCATGGTTTTTACACTGGCACTTTTATCACTAATTTAGGAGAATCAGATGCATTTCCCTCCATATACGCAGGCACTAAGATTTCAAATTTATAAATATGGTAGTATTTTTAAATATTAAATTTTTACATGAATATTGGGTTCATCCTTGTTTTCCTTGGTTTCCTAGGTATTATCCAGTTTTGTAAGGAAAACACAGTTATATCACAATCAAAACTTGTCTTGGTTACTAGACTGTAGCCATAATTGGGTTACAGTCACTTAGATTCATTATTTGGAATTATACTTACTAAGGCAGAACTAAATGAAACTTATCTTCTAGAACAATTTCACATTTGCATTTACCTGCACTGCAAATGGGCTTAAGCAATAGTTTAGCTGTTAGGAAATATTTAATTAACTTAAACTTGTTATCTGTGACCACTCAGAACTCCCTAGAGTAGTCAACTTTCTCTCTGAGTTCACCTTAAACTATTGTATCTGATCCATTCCAAATAGAAGATTTTTGAATAGAAGTTAAACTTCATTAAGGTACTAACTTTAAATCTGGAAGAAAATTAATGTACTGAAGTTTTCAAGTTTGACAAGTTCATTAAAATTTTTTAGCATGTCTTGATACATTTACTTATCAGCTTTTTACTCTTCTGCTGGCATTTCCTTAATGTTTGTTTGCTTCACCTCTCTGGTTCATTGGATTGCTATTATTTATGTTTTCATGGACTTTATCTTCACAGTTTACTGTATCTTGTAAAGCCTTTTCCACATCTGTTTGGCCAGCTGTACTGGCTGTTTTTGGCAAGGTCATCTGAAGTGCACACCACAGGGTAGTGCGTGCTTTCCGAGTAGCCACACACATCTCTTTAATTGCTGAAGCAAGGGCAAAAACATCTGTAAAGAAAACACTCCGTGTCAGTTCATATTAGATACCTTTTATGTATCCTTTAACTCTTAAAAAGCCCAATGCTGTGCTATTAAATGATCAAACATTATTATTTTCGTAAGAGATAGGTGGCTATTGACTGAGTTAACTATCTGACTTAATATCAAAAAGTGTTGATACTGTTTCTGACTTGTGTGACAATGACTATGCTTTGGGGAGAACACAGACTTTGACAGAGTTGTAATTAAATGGGTAAAATTAACCAAACTGACCAAAGTACTTATGGAGTAAATTATGTGGGCATGATTTACCAATTTACCTTTAGCTAAGTGTAAATTTTGGAAATCCAACCTTTAAACTCAGAATCTGATTTTAACAACATTCAAATTATCTCACTGCCTTATCAACAGAATATGCATTAACACTTATACCTCTGTCATCTTGGCATCTAGGAACTCCTTGCCTTTGCCGATTTGAAGCATTAACAATTTCATCCTTTCTACGTGACTGTACGATGTGAACGGACTCCAAGTGTCTATCAAGAGCAGTAGAGATATTGGCATGAAGGGGAGAGCTTCGAAGACGTTCCATTTTGCCTAGTAGAGTCACAACCTGAGGGAAACATTTTAAATTTCGATAAGGCATGTAACCACATTGCTCTGTCTTTAAGAACAAATTTTCAATGAAGGAGAACAGAGATGAGAGCAGTAATATTCATCAAATAAATACTTGAATGCCTACTGTGTACTGACACCATGCTGGGGAAAATAAAGATGTTAAGGCAGTCTTTTGTACCTACTTGTTTCGGTAATCAGTTACTGGGAATAAACAGTTAAAAAATCAAACATTTAAACATTTCCATGTTTAGCTGACAGGGTGTGTAAATTTAAGATGTAATATTGTTTTTGGCAAATAAGAGAACAGCCTGCAAATAAAACATTTTTAGGAGGTAGTGTAATCTAAAGGGAAAAACATTGAGCTAAAAAGGGAGAAGTCCTAGACTGATTAATCCTGACCTTGGCAAGTCCTTTCTGGGCTTTCAATATTCTCCTTTTGAAAATCAGAAATATTCAGGTCATACTAGTGGTAGTTTTAAGGAATCCCTAATCCACTAGGATCAGTAAGGGGAGTACAATTCATAGTTGCATATACCTATATCTCAAATTCTAAACTTGAAAGGTGTATGGAAAGAGAACTTTTTCAATAATTAGGATTTGAACATCAAATAAATATAGTCATTGCCTTTGGGAACTAAATGATTTAAAATTCACAGAAGACCTTGGTGTTCAGTGACTGGGGAGAGTAGAAAAATATCTCTCAATGAAGAAGCTAATGGCACCTGAATGAATGCCTCTAACCTCACGCTCATTTCAAGTTTCTTTGGAGTAATGCCACTTTGGGTCTATGGAGAAAACATAAGTACACAGTTATTAAATATTTTCCTCCCAATTACAGAACCCACCAGGATCTTTGAGGAGGAAACAAAACAACAAAAGAAAAAAAGAAAAATCGCATAGAAAAACTCCAGTGAGCTACTAATTACACATTTTTTTCTAACTATGTATTTTTAAAATAAGAATCATTTAAATAAATGGTAAGTGTAAATAAATTTGCACAGGTGATTTTTAATAAAAAAGGTGGTTCTTTTCAGAATTGTATAAAACCTGCAAACCAGAAAATAGTACATGTAAAAATATTTTTGCCCTTTGTGATCATCGGTCTAATGTTGCTAAATATAAAAAAATTTTTTTTAATGTTTATTTATTTTTGAGAGAGAGAGAGCATGAGCAGGGGAGGGGAGGGGCAGAGAAAGAGGAAGACCCAGGATCCAAAGCAGGTTCCAAGTTCTGAGCTTTCAGCACAGAGCCCGACACGGGGCTCGAACTCACGGACTAAGAGATCATGACCTGAACCAAAGTCGGATGCTTAACCGAATGAGCCATGCAGGTGCCCCTAATGTTGCTAAATATAGATAAATTATTACAACAGCTATAAACATAACCTAAATTAATGTGAAGCATAAGCAAAGCTGAAAAAATTTATTTAAAGTTTGCAATTCCTTGATTAATTGCCTAGAAATGTGTTGCTGAGAAAAAGGACTTTTAACTTGGAATGGTTTTTTTATTTAAAAAAAAAAATTTTTTTTTTTAACGTTTATCTATTTTTGAGACAGAGAGAGACAGAGCATGAACAGGGGAGGGGCAGAGAGAGAGGGAGACACAGAATCTGAAACAGGCTCCAGGCTCTGAGCTGTCAGCACAGAGCCCGACGCAGGGCTCGAACTCAGGGACCGTGAGATCATGACCTGAGCCGAAGTCAGACGCTTAACCGACCAAGCCACCCAGGCGCCCCTAACTTGGAATGGTTTTAAGAAAAAGTAATAAAAGATTGAAGTTTTTATTAACATCTGGCTGTAACCCATGTTGGTATCTGACTGTAATACTGATAAATCCATTGTAAGAATTTACAAATTTGATAGAAGAATTTCAACCGACCAACTGAAAGCTAGGTAAAAATCACTCTTTTCCATTGAAGTAATTCATATCTATATTTTAAAGACAGCAAAGTAGATGAAACTGATGTTCAATAAAACAGACTCTGCTATGTTGATTTTTCTGGTTCCTAAAATGGCTTTTATTCAATCATAGAAGCAAGCTGTTTTCACTGCGTGCTTTTTCCCAGGAATTTGTTTTTGTTTTTGTTTTTGTTTTAAGTAATGTCTATGCTCAGTGTGGGGCTCAAACCTATGACTTTCAGATCAAGAGTCAAGTGCTCCTCCAACTAAGCCAGCCAGGCGCCCCTCCCAGGAATCTTTTATCATATTTGAAAAACAGTGTAAGTTTTTAAAAGAGGAAGGTCAAAAAAGAAAAACTTTACCCTACTGTATTAAATTCTAGAAAATTCTGAAATTTCAAAGGAGGTAATAGAAATAATCATTTGTTAAATTACAAAATGACCTAACGTCAGGATTCTTTACATTTGAAGTGATATACTACTTTTCTAAAACAAAGCTATTTTATAAATTTATGCATACCTACATTCTTCAGTATTTTTTCAGTTTATCAGTATTTAATACATTGCTGGATACACTTAATGTTTGTTGAATAACTCAAGTGTGCAGGGTTAAGAAAACAGTAATTCCCTGTTAATGTCCCATTTTGTATAATGCAAATACAGCTTGTTCATCTAGCTAGAAAACAAATGGGGTTTTTTTTGGTTTTGTTTTGTTAGAGAAATGGGACTTTATAAATAATATTCAAAATTATTTTTGCTTTAAAATTCTGTTGAGAGCTGTATTGCTGATATAGATTTCTTAAAGAGAAACCATTTAAATTCCTAAGCCTACTTTTTTTTAATGTTCATTTTTTTATTTTGAGAGAGAGAGAGAGAGA